TTTTTTTTTTTTTTTTTTTTTTGCCCCGCAAGCCCATTCCTCCCAGTGTAGAGCTGTGGAAGATTAGCCTTGAAGGTAGGCTTTGCAGAGAGGTTTTGGGGTAAGTTTAAGAATGGGACAACCATGTTAGAGCCTGAACATAGCCTGCATTGCTGTGGAGAACCTGAGCACTGTGACCTGTAGGCAGTTGGGGACAAGCTGTCATAAATGATATATGCAGATATGTCCATTTATGTTCAGTGCTGCATAGCAGCCCAGAATTGAATCAGATTAAAACTGACTGAAAGCTGCCACAGTTATTCATGCTGTAGGTTCTGTGCTATGTTTTTTAGATATGCAGCATATAATCTTTTAAAACTTTTCCTTATGACTTTATTTTGGTAATGTCTGTTGTTTGAGTGAAGTTGGACTAATATTATGTGAAAAGAATATGTATTTTAAGAATAATCTTTACTAGAGATTATTGATATTAAATCTGACTTTTATTGTTGTAATTTGAGGTTCTTCTGTCAGTGGGATAGTTCCCTCAAGTTTGTGCCGGAATTTGTCTTCATAGGCAATGCAAATTTGCCTATTGATTTTTTTTTTGCTCTCATACTGCATTACTTTTTCTTTAATACAGATGTTATTGAACAGCCAGTGACAGTTCAAGGAAACAGTAACAGAAGATCTGTCAGTACCCTGAAACCATGTGCTAAAGATGCTTATATGCTTTTTCAGGTACATTGTACCCATCTTCTATGAATACTGGTTAAGTGCATCATTTGCTTAATTGCACAACTGAATGTCACTCCCAAATTATTGTCTATTGCTTATGCTGTAACAGACTCTGGTTATGGACATACCAGTTAAATAAATAACTGCTTAAAGGCATAACATCTTTTAGCCACAATATATACTTTGTAACTTAATTATACTCAGAACTACTGGAAAGTAATGTTTTTGTAACTAATTTTACTCCCTTTAACTGTTTTATAGAGAACTAAAGGGAAGCTGCTGTCAAAGGTTGCTCTTCAGTGAGGGAGCTAGTCAGTTTTGTGGTTGCTGTCTCTCATCAAGGCTATTATTAGAAATGTCAGAACTGACTATTAGGGTTAAGTACAGACATTAAAAAAGTCAGCAAGTAAACAGACATTCACGTTTGAAACCAGAAAGGCAGCCAGACCCCTGCAGTGGCCCATACCAGTAACTGGGGAGTGATAGAGCATACCTCCCAGCCTGGTCATCACTGCTGAAGGCACTAGAATGCAGACAGCGCAGCCCAGGGCTGCAAAGCATCCTGGGATGCTGCGGGACTGTAAGTTAACTTGAACTGGGAGGGGGTTTGGGACAGAAGTTCCATAAACCAGTTTGACCTAAATTGGTTAAGCACGATACTATATCCAGTCAGGCTTATCTTAAACCAGTTTTGGCCATTTGAAAGTGATTTAAGTGCACTGAACTCCTGTTCTTTTTACAGGTTTATATTGGTTTCTGATCACTTTTAAACCGGTTTATGTGTAACTTCTGTCCCTAGCCTAGAAGTCTCTGGAAACTGAGGAGCTTAATAAGTTTTTTGGGATCCTAAAACTACAGCACTAACAGTGCTATAAACAGTGCATCTTAAATGCATAAGGCTGCCATGTTTAGGGCTTCTAATTAGGGTCACCATAAGGAAATCTAGAACATCTGGGACAATGCCATCCTCCTCCTGCCCACCCCCCAACCTCCCAGTCAGCAGCACTGTTGGTAGGCAGTGGTGGAGGCTGGTGGGCATGGATGTGGGCATAGTCCGGTGGGGAGGCAGAGATGCCTGGCGCACCATGCCGCTCCTGCCATATTACACCCCATGCCCCTGTGATCCTGGGACTCCTGTTTTAATTTCTGCCAGCTGACTGGGACTGGCCTTTGAAATATGGGACTGTCCTGGGCAAACTGGGACATATACTCACCCTACTTCTAATTGTTTTAGGCCTGCTTATTAGAATCCTTGAAAACGAGTGGAGATTGTCAGTTTTGAGGCTTTTAATACCACAGCACTGGGCACTGTTCACATTTAGTTTATAATTGTGTGTATTCTGGTCAAGAATATAGCCTTTTCAGTCTGGAGGCTATGCACATAAACAGAATAATACATAATATACTATATTGGTAGCTCTTTCTACTGTTTGTGCGGATACAGTTATGATCGGTTTCGTTTTTCTGAAAACAGATGAAATTTCATAACTTTAAATGTCTTTCTGTTTAATAATGTGGCACCTGTTGCTTGATGGATATCAAAACACATTGTTACATTAATATTTATATTAGCAAAAATGAGTTGATGTAGCAGTGAAATATTTTCATAAATAAAATGATTTTACAGACCACTAGAGTATCAGACCCTTATTGTCAGTTTGAAAATCTGTTAATAGACCACTGTAATATTGTTATGCTAATCAATATCTGTGTTTTCTAACATATCTATCTAGATTCTGTTTGTTACTGGACTAGTTCTTAATGATAACAGTAATAAAGGGATACCATGCTCTTTATTACATTTCTTTGGATTTTCTTGTGAATGACTCATAACCATTGATGGTGATGTATTTGTCCCATCAAAAAAAAGAGAGAGAGAAACTGAAAACAAGGTGGAATGGGAGAATCTTTAAAACAAACATTTTGATCTGCTTAAACTAATGACTGACTGCAAAACTATGTTTATTTCAGAGGTGGCTTGTATTTTTGTGTTTGGGTTCCCCCCTTATCAGAATATTGAGAATCTTGGGAGGAAGGATGGTTTAGTGGTAGAGGTGCTGGCCTGGACTTGGAAGACCCCTGTTCAGTTTCCTTGTTTGCCACTGACATCCAGTGTAACCTTAACTAAACAGGTCATTCTGTTTACTTCTGGGACCCAGGGTGGGCAGCATGTGTGTCAAGGATTCCACCAGATAACGTGTAATCTGCAGTTTCTCTAGCACTGTTGACACCAATATTATGTAGGTATGCTGGACCTGAACTGAATGAATGAACTAGCACTATAAAGCACATGATAAAACTTAGTAGAATTTATAATGTCAGTAAGACTTGCTGATTTATCATACCTATTGATCCAAAAATGTTTTTTACTCCTGCTTTCAAAAGCTAGCCTTTGATTATATGCAGTATTTTTGTTCCTTGTGTCATAGCAATCTTGTTAAGTTTTTATTCATAAAAAGATTTATCAGTTTATTTGTACTGCATTTTCATGCATACCACATGCCACCAAAAAGATGCAATTTTGGCTTTGGGAAGGCAGAGTAGTGGTGGGGAATAAGCCAGTTGTGACTGAATTCTGACTTGTACAAGGGGAGTCTGTTCCTCAGATCACTTGTCCTTTCCTTTGCTGCTCAGCCAAAAGCTAGAGGTTTCACCCTGTCAAGGCCCCTGTCATAGCTTGGCAGCAGCTTTTGACTGCTCAGCAGCAGCTGTGAGTGGGTAAAACCTTGTGGCTGGTAGGTCTGTAGGAGCCATTCCAGTATTCCCATCCTCCATTCCGGCATGAAAACACATTCTGTGCTTAAAACACTTGCCCCAGTTCTGGATGGATTTTCCCTTAAAACATAAAAACAAAGTGTACATGGTATACAGCCAAATGTGGTATGTTTAAAGTAGAAATTAGCTTCGAATTGGAAAAGAAGTTGTCATTACTAAAGCATGAGGGAGCTTTAGGGGTTTTTTTTTTTTTTTTTGCTTTTAGATAGTAAAAATCTGGAAATGTATCCTAGTAAGTGAATGGACAGAAGATGCAAAGTGTATTTGTTTTTCAGGATCTTTGCCAGCTGGTTAATGCTGATGCTCCCTACTGGTTAGTGGGTATGACGGAAATGACCCGGACATTTGGCCTTGAACTTCTTGAGTCTGTACTCAATGATTTCCCACAAGTATTTTTACAAGTAAGTTGTCTTGAAAAATAAGAGAGCCTTTTGCTTTCATTGGATTTTTCCACCAGACACTTCTCTTCTGCTAAATATAGCTTCTGAAGAAAGTTAAGAGAATTTTTTTTTTTTTTAAATCAGAGATTTTGTAGGATGGATTTTGAAGTTTTTAATAAGGTTATTTCAATATATAGTAAAATCCCTGTTATCTGGCATGAGTGGGCAATGGGGGGTGCCAGTAATCTACAAATGAGGCACAGGGTTTCTGGCCAGATGTGTAGCGGGGGGGAGCGGGGCGGTAGCAGCGCAGAGTGGTGGGTGGCGGTGGCTGCCACATGCAAGTTTTGCGTGTCTCGTCCCCCCCACCCCGGCCCTGTGTGTCCAGCTGGCCAGCTGGAAAATCCAGTTAGTGTGCTGGTTAGTAAAATCTCTGATAAGAGGGGTTTTACTATATTATATTCCTTTTCAAAAGTAGTTACAATTTTTATTTCATGCTTCTTCATGGTTTAACCTCCTCAGTAAAGATTTTTACCCGCTTTCTTTGCCTATACAGAACACACATTCAGTTTTTTAGTTTGTGCGCACACGTTTGTGTTTTACGTATAATCAGCATATAAATCTATGTAGGAAGGTTTTTTTTTCTCTTTATTCCTCATATTCAGGTTTTACACATTTTTATACCTTTTATGTATTATAGGTCATGATCAGGGTTCTTGGTTTTCTCTGTTTAAAATAGCAAATTCTCTGATTTTAAAAAACCCCAAATCTGCATTTTTCCATGTTTAAAATGAAATTCCATTATAGAGACACAAATATATAGATATTAGTTGAACACAATATTTTATTGATATATTTACAATTTTAAAGCAATTTGGAAGCCTACTGGTGTCAATCACTATAATAGAATAAATTCTAAATTTTTTAATGCTTGATTTTGGGGCTTTTATCATGGAAAATCAGAGCTCTCCCTGCCACTCACCGGGATGAGTTTTTCTCTTTAAAATGAGAGAATCTGGGTTTTACCATGTTTTTCCACGAAAAATGGAAAACATGGATCCCTGGTCATGATTCTGTTCAAGCTGTTGTTTCATAAATCATTGGATGCAGGGGTGGCAGTGGATATAGTTTTCCTAGACTTCAGGAAGGCTTTTGATACTGTCTCTCACCCCATTCTCATTAGGAAGCTGGGGGACTGTGGCGTAGACACCCATACAGTCCAATGGGTCGCCAGCTGGTTAGAGAGTCGCACCCAGAGGGTGGTAGTGGATGGGTCCTTCTCGACCTGGAAGGACGTGGGAAGTGGG